ACAACAATAGTTTATGCAAAATTTGGGGGGCAAACAGAGTGCATTATGGGCAATTGGAAAATAGAGAATAGAGCAACAACTTGCCCCAATTTTAGCTCCATGGGGTGCTCTTCCGGAGAGTTCAGTTGAAGAAATACGACTATCATTACCAATTAAACAAAGTTATCAGTAACAACATTTTTATATTTAAAAAACAGAAGAACCGTCGCCAAGAGAAAACATATTAAAAATGTTTAAAAAAAAATGCAAAGTTAAAAACTTTCGAGCTTCGGCTGTCAGACATTGTTTTTTGTCACCTGATTTTTTATATTTTTACGTCCATAGCCATCGCTGATTCCTATATCAATATGCTCAGTGAGTTCAATTGATTCTACACTTTGTTTCCAAGCTTTTAGTTTACCTCTTTATTCGAACGTTGAGGGAGAAGCGGGACGGCGAGTTAACGGTGGCGGGGGGGGAAGAAACTGATTCCTCTGAATTTGTTTGGTGGGGTGTTATTTCCAGAAACCCTTACCTTGTTTTTCAACCAAAACATGTTATTTTCTCTGTCATGCACTCTAGATTTTGCATACTTGAACTTAGTCGTCTGTTCGCACCGTCAAGCCTTCCATTTTCCGTAAAATCATTCAGAGCGGGAGCAACATTGAAGCTGCCTGGTATTGCACGAACGCGTGCACAAGGGGGTTGGGGGGGGGNTTAATATATTCTTGGTAAGTTTAATCCGATGATTGTATTCATTGATATGTTGGCCTTGTAGATTCTTCTAAACAGGAAACACCATTTCAATCCAAAAGTGAAAAATAATTCAATAACCTTGTCTCGAAAGAAAGACACTACGAAACCATACTTGGAGCAGCGCGTACTGGGAATACTCCCCCTCACCCCCACTCTTGATCATGACCATCTCCTCCCCAAGGAGTGACGGCGTCGTTCTTTCATGTCCGATAATTGTATACAGTTCATACTTTCTACTTTAATCAAGAAGCTTGTTTGATCTATTGTTTCATCCTAAATCTCTTGTTATTCAGCTTTAATTAACGACTGGCGCAATTCGTCTTTTTCGTTTTAACTGAACCTTCTTTTAATCTAGTTTCATTCGATAATATGTATAAAATAAACAGATACTGACTAGCTTAAATTCGAAGTTAAAAAGTTGTGTAATTAATTTGGTACATCCCAAGGGGTTATTTAGATCGGTCATAGAAATCAGCTTGCCCTAATTAGCAATGCGTTTCCACTCTTTGTTAACGATTCAAACTCGGCGTTAAATCTTGGCGTTTGTAGCATCACAGGACCCCGGGTGAGTTTTACAGAGACTTTCGAGTCGCTCTGTGAGAATGAGCGAAACTTTTACTGTTGAGTTTGATTGCCGTTCTCCTTGGTTTCTCTAATTTCAAAAGTTTCCTTTCTCTAAATGCAAGATAAATCGTGCTGGTAAACGGAAATTCAGTCGGTTTTTTAACGCGTGATAGTTTGCGTGAAAGGGGCAAGAGCTGCAAGATAGCCCCCGATTTGTTGCATAGTTAATGCTCCATGAATTACTCTAGCATGGTAGTGAAAACGATCCCGTAATCATAAAGGAACTCGGCAGTTTTTAAATTTGTTCCAGACTTTTAGAAAGTCTAATCGGCACAGTGTTAACTACCTTCCAATGAACTTGAGGTGCAGTTAACATTTTGAAGTCAAGTTTCTGTGTCGATTCAATGGAACTTCGTTTTTGAACACGAGAAACTACTGGGCTGAAGTATGTCTATCCATAAGAATCATTTAATCAGCTTTTTGGTGGTTTAAAAGGATTACATTACCACTCGCTTTCGCTTTGGGATTTGCAAACAGGTTTGGGTGGTAAATTGTTTTGAGCTATCGTGCACTGCTTAAAATAACTAATAGTCGTCGTAAATATTGAACTTCAGTCAGATTTTGGCGACGCGCGCTGGATGAAGGAATGTTACCACTAACGTCCAAGTCATGCACTTCAATCTCTCGAGACTTCAACAATCATCTGACAACGATTTCAAGTACACGTACAGTAAAAACCCGCATGGAGGCATCTGCATTTTACTTAGTTGGCCTCAAAAAATTCTTTTTGATTGGTGTTCACGGGGAAATTAGGCTGTATGTATAGCTCTGTATTTTCTTAAGAAAAAGATGCTTTTGTTGCTGGAAGAATGCTGGTAAATATGCATATATTCACATCTAAATGACTGCAATCTAAACAAATCCAAACCCTAGTTTATCTTTCAGGTTAGTTTCTCTCAATGTTTTTATATTGATGAAACATCATTAAAACAAAGCTAAACTATTTTAGAGCACAACGTATCTGAAGTGACAGTGCGAGAGATTTGTTACACGGTGGAGTTTATTTAATTTATGAATTCCATGGAAAAAGAATGTGTGTTAAATTTTAGGCTAAAGCATGTTCTTATATAAAAGGGATAAAAAGTATTTCCAGCAACTGAATGGTTTCTTTTCAAGATATCTAGAAGTTCGTAACATAGGCTACAGCTTTTAAATACTTGTACAGCATAAAAAGCCTAGCAAGGGACCAAGCGCTTCCTGTATATAAGCCCGTCGAGGGAATTAAAAGAAAAGCGCCAAAAATTTGCTAGTCGTTCTTTAGAAGAGCGCGGTGACAGTTTTACCTCGATTGTATTGTACATGCACTTTACTCATGAACGCATCTGTGGGGGAGCAGGGTGAGAGAGCAGGGTGGGAGAGCAGGGGGTGGTGTGGTGGTTCGAACGCTCGCCTTCCACCAATGTGGCTGGCCAATGTGGTCCAGGTTTCAATCCCGGGCCTAGACTGTTCACAGCCCTCTATTTTCTCGTAATTTTATTCGATCGTTAAACGCGCGGATAAAATCGCGGGAGAACTAGACGCCAGCGCAAAACGGGAGACTTGACAGGGTAGGGGGTGAGGACTAACTGTGCTCCAAGTGTTTTTCTCTGGGTCTCCGGTTTTCATACTTGCAAAAAAACCAACATTTTCAAAATTCAATTCGATCCGGTAACAGTGGACGAAAAGCCACTCTGTGTAGATGCCACTAGTAATTACCATTTATTTAGCATAATTATAATTGTGTCCTTCTCGTGAATGACCAACGAATACCTGTTTTTCCTTTTTACATTTCAGCCATGAAGAAACTCAATTCTTCATTTACGTTGAACTTAACAACATCACCGCCGAATTTTTCCCATTTGGGCAATAATGGGCAGGACATAACAATGTCCAACATTATTCAGTCTGCGTTCCTCGCCATGGTTATCATCGTAGGCGTGACCGCTAACTCCCTTGTGTGCCTCGTCATCTACAAGAGAAGAAACCTTCACACGGTCCTCTACAGCTTCCTGGTCAGTCTCTCTGTATCTGATCTGCTTCATTCCGCTCTCAAGATGCCAACTACATTGCTATCCACTCTCCAAGTCGTGTGGTATCCTCATCCCTTCTTCTGTTACATCACCACACCCTTTGGTGTCCTTTTTGGAGCCGCAACTGTCTTCAACCTTTGCGCAGTCGCACTGAACCAGTTTTTCATCATTGTTAAACCACTTCACTATCCCATGATCATGACCGCTAGACATGCCCGTTACGTTATCGCGGGCCTGTGGGCGGGAAGCGTGGTGATTTCACTTCCGCCAATATTTTGGCGGTCAGCAGATACCATTTGCAAGAGCGGCGCCGTATCTAGTGATAAATATCTCGCTGAAGTCCTATATTTATCCGCCCTCTGGACCTTTGTCGTCATCATTCCATCCATCGTCATGGGAACTAGCTACACCAAGATCTTCTTGGTGGCGCGTCGCCAGATTTTTAAGATGAGAGAGGACAATGAACTAAACGGCGAGCTGCGAGCATCGCGCACGCGCAGACGCGAATTTCGTGCGGCAGCGCTGCTCGCGTTGGTCGGCGGGATTTTTATTTTTTGCTGGCTTCCTTTCTTCGTTGTTCAAACTTTACACAAGTTCTCCGCGGCTAACATCGCGCCGTTTTATTTCCGCCTTTTTCTCTGCATTATGTACTCAAAATCGGCCATAAATCCGTTACTATACACCGCATTGAATAAGGAACTGAGAAAAGCATTGTTACAGTTCTTTGGACTTCAAAAGAAATCTTCGCGAGAAGGAAGCGGTCGTATGAACAACAACTGCCAGATCGGCCACAGACAAAACGAAAGTTTACTGTAAATTGTAACTAAACATCCAGCCACATGCGAACTGCGCTGCACTTCGATAAAAAAAAAGCCATAACAAAAAAAAAAATGTAAACGAAACTGAACACTAATACGTTTATTAAAGTAAGCTAAGAATTTTTTCAAACGAATTTTTTTGCATGAAATAACCCATGCCAGCTCTCTTTTTTCTTATTGCGTGGTTCATTTTTCCTTTCTTTTCATCAGTACATCATCTTCAAATAACATTGTTTGACAACTGTGCACTAATGCCAAGCTGGAGTTGAACCCATGACATTGTCTGGTTCCCAACCAATGTTCACCAAAAACCCTCCCACAGAAAGTTTTTGGGGGACTGGGTGCTCAACCCCAGTCCCTGCCACTCTAAAAAATTCCAGTTTAGCTTCGTACCTCCTTTTGGCTTTAAACTCCTCCCTCTCACCTTGGAATTTCCAGTAATGCCTCATTTTATGTTTAGCTATACTAAATTATAAAGATGAAAATTCCTGAAAAAGCCAAATTATATCAAGGGCTCAGAATAAAGATTAGAGCCTGAATAGTGTCAAAGTTCAAATTCTCAAAACTTGATGCTATACAAGTTATTAGAGGGAAAAAGGGAATTGGTTCACATATCCCTATATAAGATTGGTAAAAGTTATTTCTTTTAAAAAGTAAAGAAAGCTTAAATAACCATCTTCAAAGAGCTAATTACAGACATGTGAACATACTAAGACAGTGAGATGAGAGAAAACCTTTATGAATCTGTGCCTAAGTGACTATCCACTGTCCATAAAGTCACCTGGCTACCTACTTTCAGTTACGTAAGGAAGCTAACAACAGTATGTTGAGATGTGTCATTGTTTCACTTCTTTGGACCGTGATGGATGTTCAAGTTTAAAACTCTTCTCCATTGCAGTTCGATGGTCTGTAAATCCTTTACTCCCCTTATTGAAAGAATTGGGTCCAGCTGAGGTGGGTGTGTCTCTGGAAAAAGGAAAGACAGGTTACCATTATGGTAATGATTTGATTTGGTGCCCTCCTTCCAATAAGCACCCCTATTCCAAAAAGTGCCCCCTTCCAATAAATGCACCCACATCAAAAGAGACATTCAAGATAGTTTAAAAGAAGAGACTGATTAGACAAAAGAATTATGAAGTCTGTTACACACCCCCACCCAATTTTTCTGGAAGTATCCCCCCCTCCCCCTTTCAGGAGCAAACCATTCTTTGTTGATGCTTGTACATGTATATGAAAAGTACCTCAGGGCCATGCGAAAAAAAATGGCTGCGATGATCATTCTTCACTTTCATCTAAAACCGCAGTTCATATTTGAATTATTTCATATAAACTTCACATCATTTCACTCCTCACGGGAAGATATGAACTCAATTAAGTGGCCTCGCTCCCAATGTGT